GCATAGGGAGGACATCTGGTCAAGATTAGCAAGCAAGGCAACAGCTACCCAAACCGGGGGGCCAGGGTCCTACAATTTCTAGTTTGCTCCTTGATTTCTTAGTGTGCCAACATGTGACCAGCCAGCCTCTTGTTGCAGTAGCCTATGGCCACGCCTCCCTACCATATGGACTGTCATATCTGGAAGTGGAAGTTAAAATAAAACGTACTCTCCCTCAAGCTTATTTTGATCAGAGTGTTTTTCACGACAGAAAAGTAACATTCTATTTTCATGTATATTTTATTATATATGTTACATGTTTATGTACTGCATTATCATAAAATCCTGATCCATCACCTGTACTAGTGCTATCTTAGGGAAATAACAGAAAATGTTCACCACTGACCTGATAAAATAGGTGTGCAATTAAGGATCTTGTAAATGTAGTGATAGAGTCCTGTCTCCCAAAGTAAGGTGAACCATGATAATGAAGGTAAAATCATAATTGTTTGCTTACACTGTATACATGGTACCAGTTAAATTGGAGGTGTTGTGATAAGTTCTCACTGTGTGGGCTTAGCTGGCTTGAACTCACAGAGCTGTGCCTGCCTCGGCCTCCTGAGTACACTACCACTCCTAGCTTAAGTTTGAGTTCTTAGTATTCCATGTGACTGAGTTTTCTCTTGCTTACAATAAGCATGGACAGATTCTTTAAAAACCACATATGATCTAGATATGTGCAAAACAATATGTGCCATAAATATAGTAAGGAAGACATTCCTTGTCCATCAAAAATGCATAGTGTGATGTACTTGGTCTTGTAGTCATTTCTTTGGTGGTCACAAGGAATCCATCACTCATAAAAATATGAGGACTTGGGAATAATTTGCTTTTAAAAAAACCATTGAGGTCAGTATTGTGTCTGAGATGTAGTTCTTTTTTATTAGATTTCTGTAATTGGTCACAAAGGTGAAATTTCAGCCATTAGATTGAGGAATGTCACACTCATTGTGACTGGTTTGTTAATGCATTGTCTAAAGTTGTGATGTAATAATTAAATGATTGTGATGTTCCTGACCCCTTCAAACATTGTAGCTGGAGTTTTCTCCAGTCGCGCTCAGGCCCACAGCCACTCAGACCCAAGTAAACACACAGAGACTTATATTAATTAAAATTGTATGGCCTAATGGCTCAGGCTTTTTGCTAGCTACATCTTACATCTTAAATTAACCCATTTCTATAAATCTATACTCATGGCTTAATGGTATCTTTATATCTTGCTTCTTCTGGCGGCGGCTGACAGCATCTCCTGACTCAGCCTTCCTGTTCCCAGAATTTTCCTCTCTGCTTGTCTCGCCTATACTATTTTCCTGCCTGGCTACTGGCCAATCAGCATTTTATTTTATCTATCAACCAAATCAGAACAACACGTTCACAGCATACAAAGCAATATCCACAGCAAAACATTTTAAAATTTCTTCCAAGGTGTAGATCTCCTCACAGGAGTGACTGGACATGTGTATACCGCTCTCAGGTGGGCCAAAGTGTATAAAAACATTTAAATGAATTATATAAATACTATGTACCCTTTAATCTTATACAATTTTGACTTTTATATGGAAGAGTCCATTTGTATAGATTCCTTTTTTCCTTTTATTTATTTCTAAGGGTCCATTTATTTTTATTTTATGTGTGTGAATGTTTCCTCTGTATGTACATACATGCACCACATATGTGCTATGATGTTGGAGGCTAGAAGAGGGTGATAGGTCCCTGGAACTGGAGTTACAGATGTGGCTGCTGAGAATGGAAGCCCAGGTCCTCTGTAAGAGCAGCTAGTGCCCGTCACCACCTTGAAATCCTAGAATATTTCAACTTATCCTTAAGGACTTTCCACTCATTCATATTGATTCATTTTGAACAGTTGAGTTTCTGCTCTGCACACACATTTCCATGCTTCATACTTAGAACACTTGATGGATTTGGTATATTTCTAGTCTCACGCATCAGACCTGTAAAGAAGTACTTACTGTATAGAATGAACTGTGTGTTAGATAGCTAGAGAGATGATGCAGCTAGCATAATGGAGGGGAAGTCAGTCTACTTAGACAAGTCCAAGAGTCCTTCTAGCAGAAGTGGTCTATTATATTGTGGGGGTCCAGCTCCCACCTTTTGAAGGGTTCTTAGGTGGAGGAGAGAGGAATTAAGATATATCAGGTAGAAAGAGAGACCTAGACAATGAGAAGAGAGACAGAAACACAGGATAGCTTCGGGAGGGACTGGGTCAATACCCAACCTACAGCCTCATCCTTTATTGAAAAGGGCTTTTATAACATGCCAGGGGGAGAAGCAAAAGACCTCCCCTTGCAAGATCAAACCACACCGTACAGCCAAGTGTAGACCCTTCCAAACACCTGGTAAACATGCCCTTGACCAAATCATCTCCTTATGAAGCCCTGCTGGGTAAAGCAAGCTCAGGTTCTCTGACCCTGAGTAAAGTCTCACTAGATAGCCTCTGTGGGCTCCCACGTTAGATGAAGCTTAGCAATTAGCAGGTGGTTAATGAGCAATCATGGAAAAGCTTAAGGAGAGGCTCTTCCAGGAAAAGAATCACATGAGAAGTGCAACATGGGCCATCATGAGTGGTGACCATTGTGCATGTGGGCTGTGTGGTACATGGAGCCAGCCAGGCAAGCAGGCTGTAGGTCTCCATCTCTCCAGCCCCTTTCCAGTGCTATAATACCATCACCAGTCGGACTGGTGAATATACTGCCCATTTTCAGTGTCTAATTCATGACCTGAAAACAACTTAATGCATTGTAAAAAAAAAAAAAAAAAAAAAAAAAAACCCTAAAATCAACAGCAACGACAACTCAACAGAGCAGATGTACTCTCTGTAATGAAAGTCTGGGCAAAAAAACAAAAATAAAATGCAAGTTGCTCTTAGATATACAGAGAGTAAAATGATTCAATAGTTTGACCAAAAAATTTAGTTCTCAACCAGGTAACAGAGCTAGGGGAGGAGGTCAATAAAAACAGCATTTGCAAAGATTTTAGACTCATTTTGGCCTCATCTGAAATATTTATGACCTATTTCAAAAATCTCATTTTCTATCATTGATTTACTTAAGATTTAATGGGAAATGCACAGTCAGCCATAAGTATTTTTCAAGCCTATTATGTGATCTGTATATTATTCTCAGAGATAAACAAAATAATATTAGCAAATATGTTCAAATTCACAACACAAATTTAGAAGTAACGAAAACTGCCCTTCATGATACCTCCTAGAATTTAGATTTCTGTATCTAGCATAAGCTACACACTACCAGGGAGTGTTGGCTTTCTGTGCCCTCCATCTCTACGTAAATACATATTTATATGGTAGTCTATCTATATAATCATTTGCATCTATCTGAATGTGCATTTGTACCTGTGTTTGAGCATTTTGCTGCAGCTGTACCACCGAGTACAACTATAGTTTGGTATAATATACTGAAGAAATGGAAAACAACATAGATATGTGGTTATCACCTGCTTGAACCTTGATTTTGCTCCTAGAGCATGAAGTAGCCAAGGCTGTCATCAGTGTTGTTGGGATCACAGCCTGGGCCTTGGAAGCCATAGGCTAAGGCTTAGCTACATGTTCTCAGTGGACCAATTAAAGGGAAAAATAGTAATAGTAAAAAGTAATAGTAAAAAGCAGAGAGAGGTTTATCTCCATGTGGCCACAACTGGAAAGAGGGGCAAGAGGCTAGTGACGCCCCCTCCCCCACAAGTCATCTTCAGGGTATACACATGACGCTTAGGTCTAAATAGAAAAGGGTAGTGTAAGTCAGTAGTCCTGGCTAAGCTGTGGTCTGGCCCATCTATGGTGGTATTTTATTTGTACTGAAATGTGATTTTAATTGTATGTTAATAAATAAAGTTGCCCAGGGGTTAGAGCTATTAGAGCCATAGCAAGAGCGTGGCGGTGGTGGCGCACGCCTTTAATCCCAGCACTTGGTAGACAGAGCTAGGTAGATCTCTGTGTATTCAAGGATACAGCCAGCATGGAGACACACGCCTTTAATCTCAATACCAACCATAGAAGACCTGGAAGTCTCTACAGACAGGCAGTGACGAGGCAGTCATGTGTTTGGGTTTACAACCAATGAGAAGGCAGAACAGAAAGACTATATAAAGACAATCACACATGAAGTAGGTCTCTTTCGGAGAGGTAGGACCACCGCAGGAGGAAGGGTAAGGTTTTAGCTCTGAGCTCTGACCTCTTGGCTTTCTCTTTTACATTGGTTCTGTGTTTCTTATTTAGTAAGACGGTTGGTTACATCTACACCCATCATTGACCCATCATTGTCAATGTGTGAGATCTCTCACTGGAGCCAGCCAGGCTCTCTCTATAGCCAGTTCTAGGCTTTGGGTTTTCCTTCTCCCAGCATGATGTTCCTGGAGAAATTCCAGTATGTTGGGAACCATTGCCTCCATAGTCTAGCAGTAAAGCAAGGACACAAGTGTCTCCTCAGAGCACCTTCATCCCGTCAGCACCACTGGGTAGAAAAATAAGGTCTGTCTTTCAATTTTGTAAGGAAGGAAGGAAGGAAGGAAGGAAGGAAGGAAGGAAGGAAGGAAGGAAGGAAGGAAGGAAGAAAAGTAAAGAAAAAGCTTTATTTTCACAGGCTGTTTAGAGACTTAGAAATGCTTAAGTGAGGCAGTCTCCTGGCAGATGAACAGAAATGCATAATTTAATGTGATTATTATATAATAAACTACAAAAACAAACTAAATATACTTCCATTTAAGTACACTATTATATGATAACTACAAGCAAGTCTTCCTAAACCATCCATCTTCTCCCATCCAGTTGCTACCCAGGCCTGACCCTGCTTAGGCTCCAGGAGCAGTTGTGTTTGGAGTGGTATGGCCATAGACCTGTTCGTTTTTTAGAGCTTAGTTATTTGAGCCATGGGTTTAGGGACTTCTGCTGGGCAGTGCATCTGAGAATCAGAACTGTGACATCTGAAGAGTGGGAGAAGTTAGCCTCTACCTGGACAGCTTTGGGCACCTAAATGTTTGTCTGGACCAACACTACTGTCTGGTAGCTAAGTAGTTGTGAACTATCTATGCAAGTCCTCTGAAAACCAACAAAAACAACCAAATAAAACCCACTTCTCCTTGTGTAAGAAACTATAAAGAGGAGGAGACATTCCCCCTCCTGTCCTGGACTGAAGTGTCTTTGAAATACTGGACAACAGGCAGATTAGCCGTTTCTTAGTGCTCAACACTGTGGGCATGAGACAGTACCTATGAAGAAAAACCCAACAGCAGGAAGATTTGAGAACACCCCAGTGTTGGGCGAGGCCAGGAACACTGAGGGAGACAAACCAGAGAGTTTGCAGCTTGTATGTGAAAACAAAACAAGCTGAGCAGAAAAGAGGGAGGACAGAACTCTGGGAAAACCAATAACGCCAGTTTCAGCAGGTTCTGGCCTGCTCCTGGACCCCTCCTAAGAACACACTCAAGGCACTGGCATTACACTTTGATTCATATCCCTGCATCTAATGCAAGGAATTGAAACAAACTGAATTGTGGGTAGGGATGGCTTCTACGAGAGCCTCCACCTGCTTCAGGAAAAGAGCCACCCGGGGTTGGAAAGGCAATGAAAAATGACTGACCAAGACTTGTACATGCAGGTGGTAGGGGTGGGCGTGTGGGTCCTCTCTCCACTCCGGAGGGTGTCCTTTCTGCCTCACCTCCTCTCTTGCTGATGTAAACTTGGTGGCTTGCTCTACCTATGCCCTAGTGGGAATTTTTCCACCTCGGCGTCACTAGCACTGAGATTGCTACTATGGTTGTGATCAGAGAGAATTTGGGAGTTGGCACATCCCATAACATCAAAAGTCGGGGGGGTGAGGGGGGCGACACTAAAGATATGATTGAACAGTGAAGAGCATTGGCTGTTCTTTCAGAGGCCAAGTGGGTGCTAGGAACCAAGCCTGGGTCCTCTACGGAACAGCAAGTGCTCTTAACCAGTGAACCATCTCCCCAGCCCAGCTGAGGATCATTTCTGCCTGTCTTACAGAAGACAGTATTAAGTACAATCCCAGCAGTACTATGGTCTACATGGTTAGTCACTCTACAATGACCTTCAAGTTTACAGTGAATCCCTGAATTTTGTATGTGACTGCCTTTCTCCAAAATAGGTTTATCAATTTCTTTCCATGGTGCCAACCAGGCTTGTTATGATTTTGTTCAGTTCTTGGTAACTTTGCTGACAGGCGCCCAGCAGAGAGCATTATTATATGACAGGTCCTCTTGTGAGATGGAGTAGGCAGAGGGTGGTCCCTTTTCAGAACAAGCACCCATGGTTCAACAGGATCGTCACAAGGTTATGCTACAGACTGGAAAGGAAAAGTGGCTAGGCTACAGCCCTGCCTTCAAGATGCTTACACCCAGAGGTAACGGCTAAAAACGAAAGCTTGTGAAGGGGGAGGTGAGGAGGGGGGGTTAAGCAAAGTCGTTTTAAAGAGAATACAGTGAGAGAGTCTGCAGGACTGAACGTGTTTGAGTGCCCTTGGCTGCTGCGGCCCTTCACTATTATTTGGCGATACTTAGAGACATCTGGCAGTGGAGCTAGCTAAAGGGGTATGAACTGTTCATTTCTGCGTACAGCAACAAGGGAGCCAAAATCTTTCTTCCATTCATGTGAGCCGGCAACTGTGGGCTCTCTCCAGTCCACACGCTGAGCTGCAGACCTGTGATTACGTGTGGGAGCTGACACTCCTCATTTCTGTCAAGAAGAGCCACAGTGTTGCCGGCAGGTGTGTGGTCGCCCTCAGCCTTTCGGTGTGCTCACGTGATTTTTCACGAGCTTAAAAATGTATATGATGTGCAGTACATGCCATTAATCCCTGACGTCAGTGCACTGGACTGTGGTGTTCATGCAGCGGCGGAGTCCCGAGACACCCACTTGGAAGGGGCACGAAAGTTCCCAATGTACCTTTTATACAAATCACAAAATATAGAGAATCTGGATTACAAAAAGCAATTGTGGGTTTTTAGCCAGCAGCCTTGCTAACATGTCACAGCAACATGACAATGACTTGGAAGCTAGAATCACTATGACTATGTGGAATACTCCAGGCATTTGTTCTGGAGTTTTGTAGGAATACAACATTTAGTACTCATTTATTTGTTTGTTCATCTGTTTTATTTATGAGTATCAAAATACAAAAGAGTACATTTTCCTTTTACATATAGTGTTTTCTGTCAATTCTCCCTTTGAGGATGTCATGCCGACATACTATTCTAGCTTTCTTTCTATATTGCTGTGATAAACTCCGGCCAAAATCAACTTGGGGAAGAAAGGTCTTATCTGGCTTACACTTCCACATCACAGTTCCTCATCATGGGAAGTCAGGACAGGGACACAAGCAGGAACCTGGAGGCAGGAACGGAAGCAGAGGCCATGGAGGACACTGCTTGTTCCCATGGCTTGCTCACCCTGCTTTCTCACAGCACCCAGAACACCTGCCCAGACATGGCACCACCACAGAGGACTGGTCTTCCCACATCCATCCTCAATCAAGAGAATGTCCCCACAGATTTGCCCACAGGCCAATCTGATGGAGGCTGTTCTTCAACTGATGGACCTTCCCAGATGACCTCAAGCTTGTGCCAAGTTGACAAAAACTAACTAGTACACATATATTTTTAATAATATCCACCCATCAATACTCCCCCTAACTCCTCCCAGACATACCCCACATGAATCCGTTTTATGGTGTGCCTATTTAATTGGAATTTATAGTTTCACCTCACACAGAAGGGGGCTTCCCTGTTCACGCAGCCGCTGGGCTGCACCTACTTCCTGCTCCCTTCAAGCCTCCTGAGGGTGCTTTCAGCTTCTAGGTCACTTCCTGTTGCTAAGCAGCTCTGTAACTGCAGCTCACATTGTCTCTGCAGACTAAACCCAGTCACATTGGGAAGCAGATGAGATGAAAAAGACCACTCTTAAGAGAGAATGGGGGTCAGGAAGTGCTGCACCCCAAATGTAGCACTTTAAAACAGTGAATAATTGAAGATTTTGTTTAATGTGTGTAAGTGTTCACTCCTTTGAATGTGTGTGCATATGTGTGCAGTGCCTACAGGGGCCAGCAGAGGGCATCAGATCCTCTGGAACTGAAGTTACAGATGGCTGTGGGTTGCCATACAGGGGTTGAGAACTGAACTCAAATCCTCTGGAAGAGCAGCCAATGCTCTAAACATTGACCCATCTCTCCAGGCCACACCTAGGTGGATCAGGAGCCAATGCTCTTAAACATTGATCCATCTCTCCAGGCCACACTGAGTTTTTGAACCTTGGAATCAAACAGGCCTCTCTGTCCTTCCTTCCCATCTTTTGTCCATCTGTGGACCACTGACTCTGAAATTTCCCCACATTTCTCCTCTCTTGAAGCACACCATAACATCTTGGGGGCTTGCCAGTGCTGAAGAATGGTAAGCCAACAGGGAGGTGTCCTTTCTTATGTTCTAGTCTCCTAAACCCCAGTCTCTATCACAGACCTTCATCAAGCAAATTGAGAGATCAGAGGCAGAGCCAAGGGCGAACATCATCTACTCATCTATCCACTCATGTAGATTTTTTTTCCAGCAATATTTCCTCAGGACTCAGACTTCAGGCTCCAGCTAAACTCCAAGTGTTTTCCACATCCGTTGAATGGCAGCACTTGTTCAGTGGTGGTCAGGAGAAGCAGAGCCAAACCCTTGTACTCAGGATGAACAATGAGAAAGTCTGGCTGACCTTCAAAACAGCATTCTTGGTAGCAAAGACTATTATTGTTCAAAGAGCTTCCCAGGGAATGTCATAATAACGCCTTAGACTGAGTCAGAGGAAATTTTGCTGGACCGGACTTTGGATAACACACTTTTGGGAACAATCTTAAATTATAAAGGCGGGTAGGCAGATGACATCACTGTTTCCACCACCATCTTCTGTAACAGCCCCTTGTGGATACTTCACAATCTGGGTGGTCAAATTATAGCCACTGAAAGATGAATCAAAATGTCATGACTTTTTTTTCCCCCCGGCTCCTCTTCCCAAGCTCTATCCTCTGGACTTTTTAGCATTTTCAATTAATGTCTTCCATTTTTTCTGAATTTCTTGTTTTTGTGTTTTTGCTTCAATTGCAAGAAGTGTTAATGAAAAACTGGAAGCTAGCCAGACTCACACATCTTCATCGAGCTGTAGAAAGCTGTCTTTGGGGGCACACAAGCTGCCAACATAATCTGCCCACAGCCCACGTCTGTTTGATGATGACCTGGTAAGGGCCACGTCACACCACTAACAGAAGATTAACAATGAGATAATTCTCACACTTTTATTTTGAAATGTCTATGTTTTGTGTTTAATTACTGAGTTCAGCTTCCTGACGACTTTAAATGTTTTCCTAAGACTATTTCTGCAATGTGAAGGGTCACACTGCATGGATGGTTAGTGGGGGATGGTCTCAGGGCTACCGATTTGATTAGACACACGAGAAAGCTTTGAGAAGGTGGTTGCCTGCCAGTCAAATTGGTTTAACAGCAAATATTCACTAATTCCCTAACAAACCAGATCAAGATCCTTAGGAAGGGTGGACACTTGTCTCTGTCAAAGGGAGCCAGAGGGTCACAGTGCACACGATTTCAAATGAGACCTGTCTCTATCTTTCCTCCTCCCATAACAGAGCACAGCCTCCTAAAACATGCAGAACTTCTGTGATTTTTCCAGTAACACTCCAGGGTTCTCTGGCCGCATGACTTCTGTATTAGCTCCTTTTCATCTCCGTGACCATATGACTGAGAAATAACTTAAAGGTGGTAGGACTGATCTGGGCTCAGGTTTCAGAGATGGAGTTCATGTTTGTTCAGTAACATGTGCTTACGCAGAGCACCGTGGCAGCAGGGACTCGTGGGGGAGAGGCCAGCTGTGTGTCACACGTGTGCTTACACAGGGCATCATGGCAGCAGGGACTCACGGAGGGAGGCCAACGA